CTGCTGATCGTTCCCAGAGATCACAGAGGTGGTGTAGAGTTTGATCCCGATGCGTCCGTACATGAGCGTGATCAGGGTGAGGGGAATGAGGTAAATGTGCGCAAACAGGACGGTGGTGTAGACTTTCCTCATCTGTGGGCTGGCCCAGTTCTCGAAGCAGGAGAACAGCGGGTATGTGCGGTTGTAGTCTTCATCGTGGACCATGTAGTGATGCTCCACTCTCTTCACGGTTAACGTCACCGCCGACGGACACATAATCACCACCGCAAGCCCCCAGATCATCACTATGGTCCCTTTGGCCACCAGCAGGGTGAGTTTGGGCCGGAAGGGGTACACAATGCAATGGAACCTGGAGGAGATTGGAACAGAGCTCTATAATAAACTCTATACAAGTTTGAGTTTTTCTGTAATCATTTTCTTCCTCTCACATCATTAGAAATGTTTTCGTCTCACTCCCCCTCTTATTATTCACTCTATTTCATCATAAAAACACAATCTATATATCTTTATGTACACCTATATTCTGAACTAGGGTTGCAAAAAGGTGGAAAATTTCCAGTAAATTTCTGAAACATTCCAGTAAATTTGGAAACTTTCCAGGATTTTTTGGAATCTTCCAAGGATGTTTGGAAAGTTTCCGGAAATTTACCGGAGATTTTCCACCCCTTTGCAACCCTATTCAGAACAGACCAGAGAAATGGTTAAAAAAAACTTTCTCAAACAGGATTTGACGTTATGCACATTAAGAATTGTGCTTTTTAAAGCACTTAACCACTTACTGGGTTAATCTCTCAATGTCCAGGTCACATTTCAGCCCAAAATCAAATCAAATAAATAAATAAATAAAAAGAAATTATACTTTGAACAAAGAAAAGTAAGGCTTTCTTAAAACCATTAAGATTATTTTTGCATTATTATTACTATGGCAATTAACCACATTTCCCCCCATATTGACATTTTTTTTTTTTTAAGTCTTAATCAAATCAATAGTGACTCTCATCATACCTTTGTCATTATACAAATTTATGTCCTCATTTGTCACAAAAACACGCACACACTCTCTCGCGCACACACACACACACACACGCACACACACACTCTCTCCCTCTCACTCACACACACACACGCATACACTCTCTCTCTCTCTCTCTCACAGACACACACACACACACACACACACACACATCTTTTAGGTGACAGATTGCTGAATGCAAAGAGAGGGAAAGATTCTTTTCGTTTTATCAGCAGGATGTCTCGGCTGAACGCTGCAACTGTAATATCAGAGGAGTTAAAGAAGATTCTCCTCAATCTTTTCCATGTACACAAGATGCTTGCAAAAACTTCTGCTTGGCAGGAAGATGCAGGGTTTGTTTTTTTCTTACTTCACAACAAGGTCTCCCTCAAGAACAAAAGTTTCAGCTGCCCCCATTTTTCCTGACCTTGCCTCACAATACTGAATTTCCTCTAACATTAATAGATCTATTCACTTATATTGCTAATGACTCCGTGGGAAATTATTCACTTATAACAGTAATGACTCAAGTCGTTCAGCATACTTATACCATGTGAAATGATCTTTAATAATACTGTGGAGAAGCAGAAATAATATTGCAATGCTATTGGCTATGGACATATTCAAGTTGCATTGACATTTTTATCAGGACAGCAGTTATTTTAGCAGTTATTATCAGTAATGCATTCAAGGAATTCAAGAATTCAAGGTACTCATTTTCTCAGTTTCTCTTGCATTCCCTGGGAAACTACAATCACTGATGCAAATTCCTATACTGGCCAGATGAAGCAGGAATAAACAGACACTTTAGCACTATTCAGATGTTTTTTAACCAGGAATTTACTGGGGTATAATGGAGCTGCAATCCGCTGAACTCGTTATGGGAATTACACAAGGACACATGACCATTATCATGACTCTAACCGGCCATTTTTATTGAATTGCACACAGATTATCAGTTTGAATGAGTCTGATGAGTCATTCACTCAATGAACTAAATCCAAATAAACATATGATTCACTTACTAAGCTAAAATCATTGCTTTCAGTCATATCATATACTTGAAATGAAACATACTTAATGAGACCTTGAGGTTTGTGAAAAATTAAACCAGCATAATTTTTTTTGGGTTGCACTTTATTTTACAGTATGTTTACTTACATACGTACAGTGTACCTAAGGGTTAGTAACTACAAGGGTTAGTACTTCAAGATTAGTTCCTAGTTATTACCAAGTTATTGTAATTACTATATAATAAGTAGTACATAGTATGTACAGGCGGACAAGGACTGTAAAATAAAGTGCTGCCATTTTTTCTATATTCATTATTTCTTTGATGAATAGAAAGTTCGGTTACACTATATTTTAAGGTGTCCTTGTTACAGTGTACAGAGTAATGTTACTTTAATTGCATGTACTAAGCCAGGGTTTGGCTTAGGGTTACTTGCATGTAATTATGCATAGATAATTGTTATTATAATAGTAAAAACATGTAACGTGTAACAAGGACACCTTAAAATAAAGTGTAACCAAAAGTTCAAAAGAACAAAAAAATTAATTTGAAATAGATGGGTTTTTTTTGTAACAATGTAAAAGTCTGTACTGTAACTTTTTGTTCAATTCCTTCTTCTCTTTTTATTTTTAAACCACTGTGTTGACAGATTCTGTGTGGGCCTATTCCAGCACCATAATGTGCAGATTTTGGACAGCCAGGATGGGTGGTTTAAAGACACCTTGACATTAAGACATCTGGACTGGACAGAGAAAAAGAAAAACAGAGGCCAGTGACCAGTGAGCTCTTGTGTCCTGTGGTCTCTCTGTGAAGCATCAGTAGCCCACAGCGATTCCATGCTTATGAAGAAAGCGATCAATACAGCCAGTTCTGTTCTCACTGGAGGCCATTCACGAGAGAAGATTGCAATCATAGTCCAGAATAAACAATCGTGCCACTCATCCTCTACACAATAGGTACGCACAATGTTTTCAATCAGAAATTATGATTCATTGAATGCAATGCAATGCAATGTCGCTTTGGATAAAAGCACCTGCCAAATGCATAAATGTACATGTAGCTAAAGAACTTCAGAATAGTGAAAGATACTTTTTTATCTTGGAGCCCTTTATTATAGAACCTGAAACTGTACTAATGTGGTTTTGCGGTAATTGTGTCCTATACGAGATTTTTGTGCGTTTGCTACTTCAGGGAAAAAAGTGTTATTTTTATATCCATTGTAGGAAGTGACCATCTCTAAAGCAATCAGAGATGCTGCATGTGAGCTTATCGCAATGGACACTTTAGTGAGTCACGTACGAAGATGCAGCTCTCAGTTCTCTATAAGAGCGTGCAGGCGTAGCTTTAACAGAGGGTTGATGAAGGAAACATAAAGGACAATGTGCAGTCATTATCGCAAAAATCAACATAAAGGTAATTTATGGGGTATTATGTGCAAGATGTTTTTGTGGTAATTACATTTCCCCTGTCCCTGTTTATTTACAGTTGGCAAGGGGCATGAAAATCCTTCCAGACTGCTAAAAGCAAACATTGCACGAGTGTAAAAAAAGACTTGATGTTTTCCTGGCCGCTGCATTTCATTGAATAATCAGAGGTGATTTTATTCACCGCAAAAGTTTTGTCTGGTCCAAGAAAACTATACTACTCACTGTTGCTGGTTTGCATCAGCTCTATATTTTAAAACAACAACAACAAATAAAGAGATACGTTTTATTTATGGTTAACCTATTAGCAAGAATGTTTGGTAATACTCTAGAATAGGGAACACTTATTCACTATTAACTACGACTTTTCCCTCAATAAATTCCTAATTTGCTGCTTAGTAATAGTTAATAAAATAGTTGTTAAGTTTAGGTATTGGGTAGGATTAGGGGTGTAGAATAAAGTCATGTAGAATAAGTCATGCTTAATTAGTACTAATAAATGGCTAATATTTTAGTAATATGCATGCTAATGAGCAACTAGTTAAGAGACCCTAAAATAAAGTGTTACCTAATTTTTTTATTAGAATCATTAAAAATAGTTTTATTCATATTTACTATATTTCACATTTTAATTTCATTGCATTCAATCCACTTAAATTTGTAAAACTGTAGTAAATGTAATCCATTAATCCATTGTTTATGTTTTCATCGTATTATATAATTTATTTAATCATATTTTATTATAGCATTCATTAATATTTTTAATTTGTTTTATTTTAATACTTTCAGTTTTTGTATTAATTTTAGCTGAAGTTTTAATCATTTTATTAACCACTTTTGTCATTTTTATTAATTTTCCTATTTAGCTTTAATTTATTTTTATTTCGGTTTTAGTTTTAGCCAACAATAACAACAACAACAAACGCCATAAGGTTCAGTTTGGAGCCCACTGACTTTCATTGTAAGGCAGCTGAAACACTGTTCAAAAATATCTCTTGCAGAAGAAAAACTATCAAGGCCAGGCATGCTCTGCTCCAGAAAGCAGCCTAGTCAACACAGACAACTTTTTGCAAACGTGATACAAGAGAGTATGTTTTTGTCCTCATTGTGTGACAAAGTTAATGCAGTTGCTCAGAACGAGCAAAGACACGCGCCAACCAGCAAAATGTGCTCAGAAAGAACGTTTGCTGTTCTGACCCAAATCCAATATTTGATTAGAGCCTTTTGTTCTATAGAGCCAATAAGTCCAATAGAAAGAGCAAACATAGGAACTGACATATGTGCTGCTGCCATTGAATGTCAGAATAGGTCAATGCTGCATGAGTATTAGCACTAGATTTAGAAATGTGGGACTGATGCACAAGCTGTCGTAATGCAGTGGATAAGAGCAAGCCGGCCTCGGGTTCAGCGCAGTAATAAGAGAGATCTGCTCTGTGGAGAGATGCTCAACAGGTATGCTTTTTGCCATGAGTGCTGGGGAAGGTTTACAGACAGGAATAAGATGTTTTTTTCTCATTCATTTTTTTTTCTGTGTGTGCGTTACCTGTAATGAGGTTGTCCACCAGGGTTGTCGGGATGCAGAAAACGCCCACCAGAAGGTCGCTCACGGCCAGGTTGAGGATGAAGAGGTTGGTGACTGTTCTCATCCGCCGGTTCTCCAGCACAATCAGACACACCAAGCCGTTTCCCACCATGCACAGCAGGAAGATGAAGAGGTAGGCCACGGTCAGGGCGGCAGCCACAGGTAGAGAGTGCTGGTAGTAAGGGTAGTAGATGATAATGGTGTGGTTGGTGACGTTACTGTTGTTTGCGTAATCATTCTGGAGGCTGCTGTTCAAATAGAGTGCGGGAAGCTCTTGCAACATCTCCATTTCTGCTGTGCCTCTTGCTATGCACCTGATGGCGAACACAAATCACACACACACACACACCACAGAGCCCATTCAAATCAAAACTGTCAAAATGGAGACGAAAAGATGACTTTTCAGTGTAAAATGCATTCGTACAAAGAATTTGGGCACAGCAGTGCGTCAGGCTAATGGGAATGTGCAGTCACTTTCTACAGATGCGTCTGATGCGTGCCTAAGAGACTGTTCATTGCTCATTGTTCATTGTTTTTTGTGATTTTATGCATAGTGAGTTTGAAACAGTTCATGCTGTTTGTGAAAATGTACGTACTGTACGGACAAAAATTGCTTTCGAAAAATACATTTGTATTTCCAGAAGAAGTCAACAAAGCTTGCAAGGCAGAAAAAAAATGCATTTTGCACTATAAACACATACATAAACACATACATACACACACACCCACACCCACACTCACACACACACACACACACACACTCAGGTTTGTTTTTGTGAAAAGTGGGGACATCCCATAGGCGTAATGGTTTTTATGCTGTACAAACTGTATATTCTATTGCCCTACACCAACCCTACCCCTAAACCTACCCCTCACAGGAAACTTTGTGCTATTTCAGATTTTCAATACACTCCATTCTGTGTGATTTATAAGCGTTTTGAAAAGTGGGGACATGGGGTAATGTCCTGAAAAGTCACCTTCTCCTTGTAATACCTTTCCACAATTGCCCTTCATTTATAATGGGTAACAGCCTTTTTAGCTCCAACTTAAAATATTCAGCACTTTTTTCTGCACTTCTATCTTCTGCACAATTTGTTCTTTTTGATTTTTATGACAAATTTGACAACTCTTTAGTGTATTCCTGCCACCTATGGGAAATTCTTGTTAAAACACACAAACACACACACACACACACACACACACACACACATAAAACTCAAACACACACGCACACACACACACACACACACACACTCAAACACACACACACTTTTGTGACTCATTTTTTTGAAACTCTAAACACAAATTCATAATTTCTCACCCAATTCCCCATACTTCCTATTTTCAGGTCAAAATTAAGCTCTCCACTCAAAACTATTCAATCCTGCTGAAAAAAACAAACTTCGCCCTCAGACATGACACACAAGTCCTCAGAAACACACACACCACAACACAGTCTACAACACAGTCTTACAAACTAATGAGATCAATTCAGAACACTGTTGCAAAAACCTTCTTTTGGCAATCAGGTATCATTTTACAGCTCAATGTCTATTACAGTATACAACATAATTAGAGCAGATACATGTTACAGTAAATATAGCAGATACAGTGAAATTCAACAATAAGCTTTACAGTAAGAAAATATTATTTTCATTACACTGCTGTAAAGCGATCTTACAGTACAGTAGATGAAAAACACTAGAAAGGAAAAGGTCAAATACCAAAGAATTGCATATAAACACAACAGAATATAGAGTCATCTCTCAGTTCTGCAAAAATACAGTACATGTAAGACGTACTGTACTTGGCTACAAATCAGTTCAGCAGTTATGAGTTTGAGGGTGTGCAACTTGTTCGTCAGTATTTACTGTACATATATATAAAAAGCAAAAGTTCTCTCATCTGAAGTACTGCTACTGTTCTGTCATTATATTTGATCTGTCAGTAGTATTGAAAGCCTGTAGGCCAGCTGTCCTCATGCACAAGAACATGATCAACTTCAGCGCTGTGTATTTCATCAGGAATAAATGTCCTTTGACCCCGTCCCCTTCAGGTTTCTTTCCCCTCCTCTTCCTCTTTGTCTCCCACTAGTAGGATTCATTTTCCAAATCACATAATCAGCTGTGCTCCTTTTTATATCATCCTGAGATTCTGAGCTGTGTCATCAGTTTTGCTGCTGAATGTTCACACATGGATAAATGTGTGCTGTTTGTGTTCATTTTGTGATTCTTGAGGTAGTTATATTGTGTGTTTGTGTTTGCTAAATGAGAACATGGTTAAACCTGTGCAAAACGATGTCGTTCTTGTGTAGAGTTTAGATGAAAACACTGAGCAAATTGGAGCGTGTGTGAAATTGGAAAATTGTGCCAAACGAATCAGTTATAGTGTGTTAGCAATCCAGAAAAACTGTAAAAATAACTGCAGTGCGAGTATACGTTTAGGTTTTAAAAGGATGGTTTAGATTTAGGTTTTGGTTATACAACACATCTTGTTTAGATTCAGAAGCAAAAAAGACGACAAATTACAATTCAGTATGCAAATGATGATGATGTCATCGCTTTCAGTGGTGGAATACTGAACATTCTATGCAAGTTAAAGGCACAATATGTAATTTTCGCCGCTAGAGGGCGCGTATTCAAAACAAACAAAGAGACAAAGGCGTAATTTGATGAGGCAGTGACTGAGTGTGGAATCATGGGAGTTGTGGTCTTCATCCGCACAGCCGATGCAATCCGACGGGATTCGGGCAGAAATCATGTTCATGGATGAGCTGATGATTTATTAACGTAGTAGAATGAAGTAGGGTGAGGCTGAAAGCCGTCGAAGCGAAACGAGGTGCTGAACGAGCGTGACACACGGCTTATTATGCCACAGTCGAGCGCTTCCGCTGCTTCCGGTCGTGCGTATATGGGGTAAAGCAGCGCTGTTTTATCATACTAGATACATTTAGTTCTGTTATAATGCTACTCTGTACAGTCGTCACCGGTCTATTAAAACACACAACATATTAAAGCGTCTTCGGTGTTTCCATGTTTTCTACAAAACAAAACCGGAAATCGAGGGGTTATGACGTCATTAGCAGGCGACATAATGACACTATAGACACGCTCCGTGTCACTAGTTAAAATTGCTTATTTCTCTGGATTTAAACATTCTTCGAAACATTTGGGATAATGTAAGTACACAAGTCAGCAAAATATATAACACTGTTGTAGTGGTTTTTGGATATTTTAATTTAAAAATCTTACATGTTGTGCCTTTAATAGGGGATTTTTATTTTTAATATTTTAGCACACCTATGGCTTAAATTATTTTTTTTTTTTTAAAAGAGAGAGAGATTGGGATTGAGTCTGTACATTCACTGGTGTGGGCTGAATAATTTCATTAGTTGAATAGCTAAAGTTATAGAATGGTGGTTTAGAAGTTCTAGCTAGATTGCCGAAGGAATATCAACACACTGCCAACTTAAATACGAACGCCTATAGAATTAATCGAAGTGAAATAGTTTTGTGTTTGAATTATGATGGAGAAAAATATGTTTTTCTTTATGCTTGTGCAGGTCTGCCATCCTCTTTTTTCCCCCAGGTACAGATATATACAGACAGTAATATATGTAACACAATAAACGGCATTGTGAGCGAACATTGACTGGAGAGATGCAATTGAAATCTGTGACCTTGCAGCACTAATTGTTCTTCTGTTTCCATTGCTTTCAAACATGAGCACACTGTAAAGTTTTGTACTGTATGTTCTTGTAATTAAACTCTTGAGTTCAGCTGCGAATAAAACCCACAAGGTCTGAATTTCTCCAGCCATTAAGGTCCTGAGAACAGCATGTTGGAGCTGGAGTTGCGTCCTGTGGTGCAAAACTGTTGAATTTGCAGCACGTCCTAAAACAATCGAGGGAGACATGCTGGGAAGTGAGAAAGTAAATACCCTCAGTGTTCTGTATCAATCTCTGTCTCCGCTAGAACTGAAGGTTTGTCTGTGTGATTCAGGAGACACTGTCTGCAAGGTTGCTGTAAATAACTAGATAGCCATGCTCACTTTTTCAGTTTAAAGCTCCAGTATTCTGTCCAACCTTAGAACAAATTCATTAAAAATCTTCACAGCATTCACTGCATATGCTGTATTAATTAAAATATTTTTAATAGCTTAATTGAATTGATCTGTCTTATTTAAGAGATACTGCAAATCAGATTCAATTAAGATTTGACTCTCTCCATCTTGCCTTGTCCGAAGAGCTTTGATCGTTTTTTTTCTTCTGTGACCTTTTTTAAATGTGAGCAATGTAAGGAGTTCTGAGTCCTTCAGTCTAAAAGCCTCACTGACAGCTGACAAAAAATGTATTTGCACGTCTCATTCTTTCAATTAATTCTGTTTCAAACCACGTGAATTATGTTAATCACACGATTCATTTTAATCTCTCTTTAAGTGTAATCAGAAATGCAAATACAGAGGAAACAACAGCATTACGTCATTCAGATTGAGATTGTGAGAGGCTGGCAGTCATTAATTTCATTAGTAGCAGAGAATAACAGATGATGTGAATCTGTTTCCTCAAGTATCGTGTGATTTGTTCAACTTATCATTTGGTGCAACATATAAAATAACCAATCAATTAGTAAAAATTGTTAAAGAAGTTTAATGGTCAGTAATGGACTTTCAAAGTGAGACAATGGGGCAATTCTAGAGGCTTTAAAGGTAACAAATGTGGCATGTTTGTAAGAAACAAATTCATCAAGACATTTAACTTGAAACTGTTGCTTCTGGCTAAAATACACATTCATAATCCATAATCCAATTCATAAAGCTTCCTCTGTTGTCCTCACCATTCCACTCACATATTTGTTTAGAGCTGTTTTTGCTTGTGCGGTGCAGATTTCTCTCTTGATTCAGACAAGACATCTTTTTCACTCTACAAAGCAATCATCACACAAAATTGTGTGCAATACCTCGTGCAATACAATAACTATCTATACGATCTGCTACGAAAGATCTGTGCAATACTAAATTGTCAATTGATCACTACTAATGCCATTAGTATGCAAAACAATGCAGCAGTTACTGCTCCTCTGTTATGTACAATTAGTGTACAATGCTCAGTACTCCGCATAGCTTTTGTACTTTATACATCACTATGCAGTAGCTGGCTTATTTTGCACTACTGCCTTGACTGTACTTGTTTTGTGTGTATTGTTGTAGGTAATCTTATTTAGATTAAATATATCCTGATTAAATTGGATGCTTAGCTTGCACTAAACTCTAATTTTGCTGTACTTTGTATAGTGAGAATAAAAAATCGTGTATA